TCAAGAATTTTTGAATTTATGTGTTTTTTGGGTGTTTAATTTGTTTTTTTTGGCTTTATTTTTGTTTTTGGGTTACGTTTTGGTCAAACCAAAATTTTTAGTTCGGTGTATGATCGAATCAAAAATTTTGGGTCAACCTAGTTGGGTCAAAGGGTTTAATACCCTTTTTGGTTTGCTATAATTTTTGTTAAAGAATTTTTGAGTTTAAGAGCATGTTTGGCAAAGATACTTTAAGCCTATTTTTGTTACTTTTATTACAAAGAAAAATGAGTTTTTACCAAACAAAGCCTAAAATAAATAAATAAATACTAAAAATTAATAAATATTTTTTTGTTGCAAATGGATAAAAATCCTAAATTTATTTAAGCATTTTTTTAAATCTTAAATACTTTGACATGTTTTTTTTTTAAATATTACATGGATTTTACAACAAGTTTGTAAAATTTCAAAAGATTTTGACTTACGTTTCAAAAATACAACAACAATTTTTATTTTATTTTAATATACGAGATTATGAACTTGTATGGAAGATATTTTTTTATATTAAATAAAAAGATATTTTTTTATATTTGTATTAGAACAATTAGGTTTTTAATTTGATAAGATAAATATTTCCTTACCAAGAAGAATATTTCTTAAATTTTAAACAAACCAAGAGTTAGAAAATAAAACATTTACTTAGTTTATATGAGATAAATAAATACAGTTTACCTTATGTAAGGTGTATTAGAGGTGTTAATACATTCATTTTAAATAATCTATCTTTTTATCTAAACTCTGAGACTAGTTAGAGTTTCTTTTGATCAGAATTTTAGATAGTGACTTTTTTTTTATTAATAAAAAACAAGAATTTCTTATCATTTCCACCCATATTATTCTCTACAATCTTAATTTAGAAGGATGATTGTCGCAACGCCTTATATATGTTTTTGCATTTCAAAATCACATCTAAAAAATTTATTTTTTTTTGTTTTAAATTAATATTTTTTTAATATTTTTAAATCATTTTGATACACTAATATCAAAAATAATTTTTTTAAAATAAACAAATATTATTTTAATATATTTTTTTTAAAAAAATATTTAAAAAATAACTATAACCTCACTCTTAAACACCGAATACTCACTGAATACTCAATAGGGTGATTTAAAGCGTACTGCTGACCTCACTGAATACTCAATAGGGTGATTTAAAGCGTACTGCTGACCTCACTGAATACTCAATAGGGTGATTTAAAGCGTACTGCTGACCCCATATGCCTGTGTATAGCATTTTATTATCATTCAATTCTGGAGCATCTCTAGTTTAATGATAAATTACTTCTGTCAAATGATACGGTGCTAAGGTGCGCAAAATTGGTGCCCCTCAGATCAGTTCACCACCGCAAGACACGATTCCATTCTGTCGGCAATAGGATTAATGTCTTGCCAGCATTCATAATGGGAATGAATTTCCAGAATTGGAAGTGGAGGACTTTGGAAAAACAACATATACCGAACAACCAGTGGGTTTGGTCACTGAGAATATGTTGCTTCATTTATTTCTATTTGACACTTCCGCCTGTGTTGTGATGAACTGCTACATGGCTATAAATTTCAACACTTGTATCCCGTGACAATTTTTCCAGAGATTGATCTTGTAAATTTGGTAAATAGTTTTTATTTTTAATTGTAGGTGTCTAAACTAACTTATATATATCTCAATTAATTTCTTAAAACTTTAAAATTAATAATTATAAAAGTTTTCAGTAATCTTGAATTAGTAATCTCTAAAAAGTAAAGTTAAGATTTAATTAATTAAGTTACATGCGGGGATTAGATTTGGTAAATGTTGTTAGAAAGATCAATGACCTTCACTCTTACTTATGGCTAAAGGCTTTGATCTGGGAAGGGATGATTGTTTCGAGCATCATATCTTTAATGCCATGCTTGTTCTTAAACCTCAAGTCTCTTATCTTCTTTGGTGAAATCTATGGATGTATGGAACCTTGTTTCTCCTCCGAGAACATGAAGATGTGAAAAATATGTTTTAAGTTGTAAAAATCCCAAGTGAATTGTTATTTGAATTTTAATGTCGTTGAGAATGTAAAATATTATATTTTCATTCCTTAATGTTTAGTTTTTAGAATGCAAATAGAGTTCGATAATGGCTAAAGAAAGCTAATTCGATAATTCTAAATAATTTAAACATAATTTTGTAATCTAGATATGATTTTCTTATCCAAACTTAAATAATTCATAATGTCATGAAACCTAAGAAATATCTCTAAAACTTTCATGTTTTGAGTTTGAAGAGATATTGATTAAATTAAAATTAAAAGTGGGCATAAAGCTATTGCTCCTATACTGCTAACGTAGTAGAATGTTTTTGAACATGTAAATTTACTACGGTGTGTTTTTTTCAAAAAATTTCTAAACTTGATTTATGAAAACATTACTTTTCTTGTTATATTAAGATTTGTTTTTATTTAATAGTTTTATTAAATATTTAAATTTAATAATTATTAGTAGAGAATGCTATTAAAAATATTTTTAGAAAACTTCGTAAGCTTCTAAAAAGAAAAATAAAATGTAAAAGAGTAAAGGAGAAGATCAGATCGGATCCTCTCTCCTTTTTCTAGCTATTCCTCTTCGCCCTTTCTTCTTCTCCTTGGAGTTTTCATGATGGTATTGAAGAACTAAAGTTTTATTTAATTAAAGGAAACAAAAAACTCAAAATCAATAAAAATAAAACTGTGAGATTTAATCTGTTTTCATTATTTAATTCATGCTTTGAGTGTTAAAAGTATTGCTCTCTTTACCTTCTGTTTTTTCTACTTTCTCAAACCCCAGTCTTGTACTTGTTAAGGAAGATGCTTAATAATTGGTATCAGAGATGGTTAAACACATTTTCATCATTTAAGCTTGATTAACAAGAGTGGAAAGCAACAAAGTCAGAGCTCTAGGGGAGCATAATCGAAGAATTGATGAAGAAGCGCAGGAGATTCATCAAGAACTGCATGACTTGAAGGCTGATTTGCATGGACAAGGAGAAGAACAAAACAAAAAGATTGATCAACTGTCAAAGCAAAGGAGATAGTGATAACGAATCTACAATCTTTGGAAGCTAACAAAGACCATGCAAGAGAAAGAAGCGAGAACTCCAATTCTGATGGAATCAATATGCAAAAAAGGAGTTGCAATCATGGAAAGGTATATGGACAACAAGAAAAACGTAAGATGAGAATACAATGTGAATCTACTGAGAATTGAGTTAACAGTATTTGGTGGTGATAATCGCAGGGGGTGGATTCAAAAGTGCAGGAAGTATTTCAAGATGCACTATGTACTACCAGTACAACAATGGTTGGAAGTTGCTTCAATGTACTTAGAAGGAAAGTCAGAGATTTGGTTTGAGGGGATCTAGCTGGGAAATAATGATTTCACCAACTGGGAGGAGCTTGCTAAAGCACTCTGTATAAGATTTGGAAGCCATAGTGATACCGTGGAAGAATTCAACAAATTGGAGCAGGAAAAAGGAACTAATGAGTACATTGAAAGATTAAAATCTTTGATGAAAACTCTTAATCCCATGATGCCAGAATCATATCACGTCTCCAGTTTCATTAGTGGATTAAAGGAAGAGATCAAGTTAAATATTCGCAAGCCGACTACTTTAATACAAGCCTTTGATAAGGCGAAGTGGAATGAAAAATCAATTGTTGCATTTGTAAGAAGAAACATAATTGTTCCCAGAATCAGTTCTTCATTTAACAATGAAAGATTAGCAGGTATTACACCCTATAAACCTTTCAACCAGCATGGAGTTGATGATCAATCTAGTCCAAAACAAATCTACAGATACACTTCATGAACAAAGAAGGAAACTTGGATTATGCTTTAAATATAATGATAAATTTGTACCTGGACATAAATGTAGTCTTAAAGGGATTCATTTGATTGAGGGGAGGGAGGATGAAAAGGAGAAATTCTTAGAAACACAAGTAAAGGAACAAGGTTGTTGTTATGGGATTGGTTAAATAGTCTCACATGTTCAAGACGAGGCAACATATGGGAAGACCTAGAGGGATTAAGCATGCAGTTCCCAGATTTTGTTATGGATTCTTGAGGTCAAGAACTCTTCGATTGAGGGGGTATTGTTAGACACCAGGAATGAAGAGTACAGTATTAACCATTGACAATGCAGTGTGCGCAAGACAGCTAACAGAAGAAGAATTGTAGCATGTGCATATATTATTCAAACTTCAATTTTCACTTCAGCCAAAACCCATGTGGAAATTACCATCAACATTCAAAATCTCAAAAAAGAAAATGCAGTTTCAGAAGTAAAATCACGAAGATTTATAGTCTTTGGCTATGAAGTTATTGACCAACTACTGAAAGAACAATTAAATTCCAATTGAAGCAAGATCCATTTTAGTATAGCATACGAAATCTGCGCAAAAAATCTCTTTACAAGTTATCAAACATAAATAATCAACCGACTATCAAAATTCAAGAGCATTAAAAATATATATGAAAAAAAAAAAGTGGAAAGAAATCAGAGAAGATTGCAGCCTACTTTTACATGGGAGAGAGAAGGAAGTGATAGGCGTTGTCCAAAGAATGAGTTGGAGGAGGAGGAGGAGGGTGATAGAGAGGACATTGAGCTTTGAAGTGCAGCCATTGCTGCAATTTCTTCTTCCTGGTCACGCTCTGGTTGCCATTTTTTCTTATGTTACTACTTGGTCACGCTCTGGCCTGTTTTGTTTTTGACACTGAATAGTTGGGTAATGAAAGATAGCGTTTGATTTGTCAGCAGATGATGTTTGTCTGATCAACAATGCTGTTTCTCGTTCTTCGTAATGAAATGGTGGCTTTCTTGGCCCTGTTTCTGATTCATTGTTTAGAAAGTAATGATTCATCCCAAAAATAGATGGGTACAAGCCTAGTAATTCTGACGATGATCCAAGTGCATTTCATAACATGGCGCTGACACTTCAAGGGAAATGTGAACACAGTTATTTTCCTTGCATTTTCATTCATGATTCATAGTATTAATGTACAAAATCATGCATGTCTTTTTATCAAAGCGAAAGAGAAAGAAAGGACCTAGTTATGTTACAAAAAAGAAGAAACCTATAAACAAACTGAATGTATCCTCTACTCTTCTAACTCAGAAGAGGGGAAAAAAAGCCCCATAGCTACAAATCTGCTCGCCTAGCTCCTTTTGAACTGCATGTATATATCACAAACCAAAGCCAAAACCATGGGCTGTCCCGAATGAACAAATTGTTTAAAATCATCTCTATACTTCACCAGTGTCAGCACTGTCAACTGACTCCTCTCTTCGGTGGTGGTGTTCAGAGAGAGGAGTTCTGATTTCTTGTTGGTCCACATCAATGGAAACTTCTTCCGCTGTGGTGGTAGAAAGGGACTTCTTGTGATGCTTCTTATTGTGCCTCAATTTGAGGATCCTGGAAAGAACTTGCACAATGTCTCGCATGGAAGGCCGTTTTCTTGGGGCACGGTTGACGCATTTATATGCTAGAACTGCCACTTCATTGAGCTCTTGAACATCAAATTTACCATCCAGACGTGAATCAACTATTTCCTCCCACCCAACTTTTCCCTCAGTATTCATTGCTGCCTGTTCATCATTTTAGAAAAACGGTTTTAAACTACAAACATAAAAGGAAAACACTGAAGTAGATATCCACTGGACAAACAGAAGCTAACATGACCTCTCTTTTCAAATGAGAGCAGATATTGTTCTGATATGCAATGGAGACGGTTACACGAGGAATTGAAAACAGTTCATGATGAAGTATAAAAAATAACAGCTAGTTTAAGACCCTTCAATGTTAGCATTCTTTTCCAATTTATTCTTATTCAAGGGAAAGCTGTTAGTGTTACCTATTTGGAAGTTTCTTGGTCTCCATCACAAGTGAGGGCATAGATTGTGCATTAAAAAACCAATATCCAATGAATGGATGTTGAAATAAATAAGTTACGTAGAAAAACCATCTGAACTTCGGCAAAAGTTTCAATTTGATTGTTGCGTTTGAAGTTAACCATCCACTTGAGAAAGAGTTGTTGAGACTTACGAGTTCAACATATTCCAGAAGACCTTGTTGAGGATTTCTGCCAGCTATAAGCTCAAAGAGCAACACTCCATAGCTGTAGACATCACTTTTCTTTGTGAACGTCCTTGAAGATACATATTCAGGATCAAGATACCCAAAAGTTCCCCTTATATTGGCTGCATGTTTGTCCACCGTCTCTTCTCTTGAAAGCCCAAAATCAGCTACCTTCTTGAACCAACATGAACAGGAGTATGAAATTAGCATGAGAACCTAACACTTGTTGATAGAAGAAAAACAACCATGATTGCACACATTGAATTAAACTAAGTTTTTCTTTAATATTCAAAACACTGGATGAAACTTTACTGTAATTTCTCACAAGGCAAAGTTTTTGTAACACACAGTGGACATACCCTGGCTCTCATGCACTGATCCAACAGAATGTTGGAAGATTTAATGTCCCGGTGAATCACAGGAGGAACTGCCTGCAGCATGATATGTAGAAAATAGTAAAATTTCTCATGGATAAAATAATGAAGAAGTTTTATTACCATGGAGGACATGCATGCACACAAAATAGTCCGCATAAAAAGAAAATTTACCCCATTATGGAGATACTCCAAGCCCCTTGCTACGTCTAAAGCAATATAAACCCTCAAATCCCAGTTCAATGGTTTGAGGTCTTCTCCTGCGTGAAGAAGAAAACAGTGTCACTTTTCACAATCACTACAATGAAATCTCTTGATGGTGGTTCTTGATCCTTGCTACAGGATAGACAGCTACAAAAAAGGCCACAATGGTATGTTCCAGTTTATTTAGCTAGAGCTCTCCTAGAGAGTGACAGGCAATTTCCACTTGCTGAAATCTGTCATACCTCAGCTTTACAAGTGACACAAACACTGATCTCTGTAACAAAGTGATGGTCAATAAAAGTGCAACTATTCTACTTGCAATCTGAGACACAGATGCTTATCTGACTACAGCTTCCAGAAAGTTTGTGTGTGTATTTCTACCATACACAAAATAACTTACTGTATAAATGAGAAGCCAAGCTGCCTTCACTCATATAGACATATATGAGCATATGCTGGCCCTTTTCTGCACAATATCCAACCAAGTTCACAAGGTTTCTGTGATGCAACCTTCCCAATAGCATAACCTGAACATAATTAAAACAAAATTGAAAGGTTAAAAGCAATGAACAATATGATAGCAGAAAAATTGTCTACAGAAACAAGTGACTCACAATCAATGAAACAGTGACACATCAAACTTCATGCAGTAGGAGCAAAACAAGAACAACTGTCCTCCATAGTGAAGAATTTCTTATTTATGACCTGGGTATAACTTATTTCCTAAACAGAACATAATTTTACAATTGGATGACTCTCTTGATTTCATCACACTCCAAAATTTCTGTCCATAAATCATGTGCAAAGCAGAGAATTATTTTTCACCATTTATGCGTGCAGCTCTTTCTGTGATGTTTATGGTATTTCCTTTCACTCATTACAAAACTTCATTAAAAACTTCCCCATCTGTTGACTAGCATGCCATTAGAAGTCAAACAAAAGGGGAAATAAATTTAGTTATACTTTACCCAGATAATTAAAGAAACTGTTCAGAAACCAGATCCAGTTCTGTTCAAGATATGTTTGTGCCAGTTGTCATTTCTTGAATCAGGCTTGATGTAACACATGTATGCTAATGTTGAAGACACATGACAGTAGCAACTTGAAGTAACAGTAATAAACCAATACGAGCATGAAAGTGAAATTGTTAACCAACGATACCTCCGTCTGAAATTCTTTCTCCCCTTGCTTAGAATCAGTTGCAAGCACTTTAACAGCAACAGTCTCACTCGTTGTAATCTGAGCTTTATAAACAGGACCAAATGCTCCTTGTCCTATTAGTGTTGTAAAATTATAGGTTGCTTTTTGTAGATCCCTGCACGATAACACCAGGAACACAATTTAATCATGAACCTAAAGAAAGAGAACAACACATTAACATGAATTACTGATCATAATCCTATTGAATTTACACCACTGCCCACTATTTGTTGCAACATACATCCACGGACTGGTTATCTTACCATTACCAGTTTAAGCGTAACGAAATACCACAGTTATAGATTAAAGAGATTGCATATCCTACTCAAATGTAATTCTGTTGCAACACTCATAACAACACATCAGGAGGTTAAACCCATACAAAGGATTCAAGCCATCCTCTACATCAAGAGATTAATAATCAGATATTAAACACATTTTGAACTTAAAAAGCTCCAGTAGTTTCTCCTTCTATCTTAGACCCCCAAAATAAGCTATTTGCAGGTATAATTGAACTTCAAATCAGATCATTTTGAAGACTCTAAATTTGAAGCACAATTATCCATTCACCATCATCAACTGTTCGAAGCAGCACAGGACCTTCAACATGGGCTGGAGCCAATACGCAGAAAACAAACTCCAACATCATAATAATTATGATCAGGTCACTCAATTGCAATCAGCCTCATCACTCTATCATATGTATAACCAAAAAGTAATTTCAAAATCAATAGATAAGTCATCACGGAAAAAGATTAGAGAAAAACATACTTGTAAGAAAACTCAGGTATCCCAGAAACTGAAACCACATTACTCCTCTTAAATCCTTCCAGCCACAAGGGCACCCTGTTTCTTCCGGCTTTCACAGGTGACTCTGGATCAATGGTCGAGTCAGACATAACAGTGCATGTATCTGCACCATTAGCCCGGATAGGGATCATCGCCGCCCTCCTAGAACTGCTACTTCCAATCTGCGACCGCTTTCTTTGGCACCTCAAACAAAGCAGCACTAAAATAGCCAAAAACACTCCAATCACCACCCCAATTGAAATCCCAATAATCAACCCTGATGACTCCATTTTTGTGTTCTATTTCACTATTTGCTATTGAATTCTCCAATCCATTGATACATCTGCCAAAAAGAAAATCTTGGTCAGTGTTAAAGAAAATCACTCCACTTTGCATCTTCAAACACGAAGTCAAACAGAGCAATATACACACATTTTCTATAGTTACGTCAGTAGTTAACAGATTCTTGAATCTGACCTTTCAATTATCATTTTTAACAATAGATTTCCTTGAAATTTATATGCCTAGCAAATCATAGAATTAATAACAAAAGGGTAGTCAAATTTATAATTCTGTTTAGCTAAAAATACAAGTCAATTTGCAGATTAGTATTAAATTGTTAAAAAAGACAGCACAACTCTGCAATCAGCCTGAATAGTCTTCCTTGTAAAAACTGATACAATATGTCTACACTACGTAACGAACCCATTTTCCAATTTGTCCTTAATTAAGCATCATTAACACATAATCATTCACTAAAAAAGCAAAGAAAACAAAACGAAACCCAATTTTATAACTAAAAAGAAGAAGAAAAAGCCACCATCCGTCCTTCATAAAAACTTGAATTCCTTCTTGAATAAAGTTCAAAAAGAGGAAGCCACAAAGATAAAAGTTGAAGAAAAAGAGAAGCAAGCAAAACTATTTAACACATATTAAATCGTGGCCTTAATTTAGATTACTGAGATAGGATTTGCATTGAAATGCATAATAAAAAATACAACTTGATCAATGCTTGTAAATCGCAAAACATTAACTCAGTCTGACCTGTATGATTAACAAAGACTTACTCCAAAAAGACAGCATCTTTAAACCATTCAATGTTTGTACACAAACTTTTATACACCAGTCCAATTATATTCAAACCAAAAACACAAACACACAACACATTTATGATCTGTGTGGTTCAAAAGAAAGAAGAACTCAAAAATCCCAGATCAGAAATGGAAAAAAGAAAAGCAAAGACACATTCTCTTAAGAAACGTAAGAAGTTTTCCTCCCATTTTCGAGTTCAAAAATATTCATTACCTGTTTGCTTGGCTGGCAGAGAAAGGGAAACTGTTTGAGAGAATTACTGACCGTTACAGCAAGCTAAGAAAAAAAAAGATTTTGAGATTATTTTTTTTGGTGAAAAGAGAAAAGTAAGGTTTTTTTTATATGATTTTGTGTGAGAGAGAAGAGAATCTAAAGAATGCAGAGAAAAAGAGCAGCAGCTGCAGCTGCAGGCAGGCAGGATGTGCTCCAAGGAGAAGAGGTACGCTCTTGATACTGTGTTAGACAGACAAAGACAGAGCTAATGACAGTTTTTTCGTTCTTTTATTATTTTTGTGTATTTTTATTTTAAAATGGCGTGAGGAGCCGCCTCTTTGCTATAATAAAAATGCGCCTCCGGGATTCGAGAGAGTAAAAATAAAATTAAAAAAAATGATTTTTTTTCTTTTTTTGTTTGATGTGCTTTTTCTCACAAATACACCCTTACATAATGGTCCGAATGGGAGGATATTACTTCATAATTAAAATTCTCATGAATTGCTGAATTTTGATTTTGAGGGAAGTGGGTTTAATGTATATTTAAGTAGTAATGATGAGTATTAAAAAAATAAAAAAACTCTATGAATATTTATTGTTAAATTAATGAGATCTGAATTCTAATTGTTGGTTTATTTTTTAAGCTTTTTATTATACATGTGTGTGTGAGAGAAAAAGCTTTTTATTATATATATAAATATGTGTTTGTGAGAGAGAGAGAAAGAAAGAGAAAGAGAGATATGCTTGGTTAAATAAAAATAACTATGTTTTTAAAACAATTTTTAAATGAATTTTTATCATTTTAAAATAAGAAAAATTAAAGAGACATGTTTCATTTATGATAACATTTTTTATCTCTTCTATCTTGATACAATAATCAAATAAAATTTTTTATAATATTCAAATTTTAATTAATGGTATCTTATAAGTTACAAATTTGATTTTGTTAAGTAATATACCATATTATCTTTTAATTTTAATGTGGATGGTCATAAAAACAAAACTTGATATAGATAGTCAAATCTTAATTTAAAAAAATGTTTCAAATAATCACACTAGAAAAAAAATCAAGAAAATTATATACTTTTCGAAGAATGTAATCATAATAATACATAAAAAAGTATAAGTTTTCAAAGGAAAAAAGTAACAAAAAAATAGAATTTGAAAAGCCATATGAATTATATTCTTAAACTTCTATCTAAGTTTACAACTTGATGGGGGTGTTTATAGGATTGTAGAGTTTGTTAATTGATGGAGAATGAGAGGTACGTGGGGTTTGTCAAGAGGATAAAGAAAAAGCTAGGGCTATAGAGTGTACAAATAAAATCCATTCTTCTTGCATTTACAAGGGTTAAAAATGAAGAAAACTTGTATTTTGTGTGTATATATATACTGGATGGAAATCCAAGAACACAGTCTATATATAGGGATTTTAGAATGCTATTTTTTGGGTAATTTTATTTTTGGGAAACTGAGATTTGTTATTTACATGGCTAATCTTGATTTCTTACTAGTCATAATTACATAATTTAGATCCTTATTTTCGATTTTTTTTCTCCTTTGATTATTTAGATCCTTTTCTAAATTACAAGTTTGATTGCCCATATTAAGCTTTTCTTTTTTATTATCCACATCAAAAATAGAATAAGATTTGACAGCTTCTATCGACCTTCTTTTTGAGTTATGATATCAAAACTAGAAAATAATATGGTGTATTACTTAATGAAATCAAGCTGTAGCCTATAAAATATTATTATTTATAGTTTAATCACCATAAAATTTCTAGTAATTTATCTTAAAATCACTTATATTTAAAATTATTTATTTGTAAAAACTAATACAAAGAAAAAAAATACGCTAAAGTGTGCAAGTCTAGTCAAAACTATATTTATTTGCAGATTAGATTAAATTTTTTTATTGTAAAAACATGTTTCATGAATTATCAATATTTTTTATTTAAAAAAAAACTTGAACAATGTAAGGGTTGACTCTATATGTTTCGATAAATCAGTTTGACTAAAAAAATTTAAGACGATGTATTTTTATAAAATATTAAAATAATAACATATTGAATTGATTTGAGTTTAACTTTTCAAATCCATAATTTTAGTCATGAGACTATGATAACCACATATAAAAAAATTAAAATAAATTATAAAATCTAATTTCCTATCAACTTAATGTTTTATGATAAAATTAAAAAAATTAAAAAAATAATCTAAAAATAACTTAAAAATTCGCAATTCAAGTCATAAGATTAATATAACATTATAAAAAATAAATTAAAATAAATTATAAAATTCAATTCTCAATCAACTCATAGTAAAAGAAGAAATTGAATTAAAAAATAAAATAAAAAGTATATAAAAAATAACTCAAGTCAATTTGTCAAACTCATGACATGGATTATAAGATCGAGATAAGTTACCAAACCCGTTGGGATAACTTCATAAAAAAACAAATTAAAATGAATTATCAAGCACAATTCCTAATTAATGTTAAAGAAAAAAATTGTAAAAAGAAATAATTGAAAGAAATAACTAAAAAAATAATTCATGTTAACTCGTTAAACTCACGCCTCAAGTCATGAAATCAAGATAATCTTATGAAAAGCAAAACAAAGCAAATGAGAAAGTTTAATTCCCCATCAATAAAATGATATGTGATGAAATTGAAAAAAATTATTTAAAAAAATAATAATTAAATAACCATGTTAACCTGTCAAACCAATGACTAAGATCATAAGATTCAGATAACTTTATAGAAAAAAAAAAAACAAATCATAAAATTTAATTTTTAAAAATCAAAATGTTAAAAAATAAAATTGAACTCAAAAATATATAGATTAAAAAAAACAGTATTTTTAAAATAACTAATACTTTGTGATGAGGTGTTTAATAAAAGTGCAACTTCTTTGGGTATTTTGTTAATATAAAAACTGATTCATTGCACAGATTAATGTTGGAAATTAAACCAACTTAAAAATAGAAATTAAATCCAAATTTTATAATTAATTCACAAAGCAATAAAAAATATAGTTTTTAAATTCAATTTGAGATCAATCTGAAACAAGTTTTGAATAATGAGATAGGTGATTTACTTCAAGTTTTGATTGGATTATTATTATTTTGAGAAATTTTTTAAAAGAATTAATGAATTTTGATTGGATTTTTTCCCGACCGACCAGACCATTAAATTAATCTAAATTTTTAACCTGATCATTATTTCTATTATTTTTATTAAAATTTGACACGGAATAAGTTTGAACCACTTTGGTCATGGGTCATTTAGTCTGGTGGCGTTTGGTTGGTTTTAAAACAGTGATTGAAAGGCAAGTAGGCACCCCAACATGGGCTTTGGATTGTACTGGCGAGTGTGCATCTTTGTATACGCAACGAATTTATGTTTCTAGTTTTTTTTGGGATGGATTGGGTGTGTGTTGGGTCATAATTTAACTTGAGGAACTGGACACGTGGGGCCTGTAGGGTTCGTTGATTTTTCTAGGACACCAAAATACCTCTAAGATCTAAAGCGAAGTTAGTATTTTGATTTGAGAACAGCAAGGCTGTGTTCTTTAATGTGTGAGGCTTTAATGTGACACGGATTATCGGCTAATGCCATGTGCAAGTAAAGGCTTGCAGCCGGTGTGTCCTCCCATTTTTGGAGATTAATATTGCGGTTTGTCCCGTCTCTATTTTTATATTTTAAAAGTTTTTTTAAAATTAATTTTTTTAAAATCATTTTGATATATTAATATTAAAAATAATATTTTAATACATTTTTAAATATATTTTTTGAAATAACTGAATTATTAATACATTTTTAAATACATCAAATAAAATGTTGGTCTAGTAGTTAAAACATTATTATATCTCTATAAGTGTGATAATATAATTTTAATTTTTTAAAAATATATTTATTAGAAAAAATAATCATGAATTTCAAGACTAATCTTATTTTTTAAAAGGATACCAGCATGCCGAGTAAAAAAAAAAAAAAAAAACTCCAATTACAAGTTCTTATAACTGCCACCGATGATACCAATTTGTGATGGGAGCATCTCACAGAAACAATAAGACAATAAAAACCCATTGCAGACAATGGAAGAAACCTAACTTGGAATATCAAATTGGATGAGACATGATACAAGAAACTGCCCTCAAGAATTAAGACGCATAGAACACATAAGTTTTGGCAAGACTTAGGGTTTGCAATTGATTGCTACTAAGAGATATGCAGTATTATAGGGTATTAATAGGGAAACAACACCTTAGCAAGTGTAAAGGTTGCTGGTGTCGGCAACCCTTCTTAGGTTATATATACGAGGAAAATGATACTTCGTTGGAAGCAATTGTCAACCTCCCACGCCTACTATGAATAGAAAGGTTAAAAATCATGATTCAACAAGCAAATCTAATAAGGTGAGAAGAATATATGAACTCCCACATATGACCTTAATTTGATGAAAGGATCTTATTCCTTGTCATCGTGCTTAAGATATGTTGAGACATTGTTTTCCCTTAACTATTCTGATTATAATATTCATGATGATAAACTGAGACATTGTTTTCCCTTGCGATGGAACTGATGTTTGCCCTGGAATGAAAAATCTTCCGTCATTATAAATAGATCCACAGCAGTTTTTTCCCTATTGACAAAGTATATATTATCATAAGATGTGTTTATCCAGGTGCATACAGGCACAGCCATGCACCATGTCCTCTCATTTCACATCAACGTATCTTGACAATGTACTGCAAATTAATATAAGAAAATCTGGTGATATAATTCTGTATCAATTACGACTCAACTAATTCAGAAATCAGATTATTATAATCAGCTGATTGTGTAGATTTTTAGCAGCTATTGGCTCTGCTCAGTCATCTACTTATGATCCCTGGCATCATCATTACCCTCCTGGCTTGAGACGACGACTTCTTCTAGCTGATAAAAAGGGAATATCCCTCCCTTGCTGTTTGTTACATGAGTACTAAAATAAACGAAAGCTAACGTAGATGCCTGAGTTATTGCATGTATCGAATGAGTTTAATTGGGTGGATGCCTCGACCCATTTCATAAGCAATACAAGTATTCCCACCAATACATTATTATTGAAATTTAAAAGATGAAAGGAAAAAAAAGGGGGGGGGGTCAAGATGGAGGTGGCGAAACCAGCTCCATAAGCTGGATGTGGACTCGATATTTCTCTTTAAGAAGACATTATTTTTCCTTTTCTTAATACAAGATTGTAGCAGAAT